ACTGAAACTTCATCTCGCCATGTGGCTCCACGGGATCCACAATCATCTTGAGGGCCCGGTGCAACTGGAAGTAGATCTGGTGGGGCAAGCGGGAAGGGGCATGAAGCAACATGGGAAATGAACAGGGCTAGAGGGTGTTGGGGTTCCCACCTGTGAACCCACCAACACATACCAGCTTCTTAGAGAGCAACAGGGCTGTGTTGTTGTCACTCTCCAGAGCCCAAGAGGCAAAGCGCAGGATGTGCTCCTGGTGCTTCTGGATCTTAGTCATGGTCCAGTGCTGACGCTCCAGACGCTCCTGCTGACCCTCAGTCACCTTCTGCAGATGGAAAAGGTCAGCAGGGCAGTAAGACAGACACTGGGATCCCTGCCCACTCTGCATGGCACCAGCAGCCAGCAGCGGCTACCCAAGGACCCTCCCACCCACACGAGGATTACCTGGGCGTCGTTGACCAACACACGGCCCCGCTTGTTCAGCTCCTTCATGATCTGCAAGATGGCCATTTTGACATCCACCTGCACACGCTTCTGTACATCAGACACCTGGCGGATCCTAGGAGAAAAGGCAGGTCAGGGCAGGCAGGGTCTCGCCGAGAGAACCCCTCAGTCTTGGCACCCACACTTACGAGCTGCGAACCTCCTTGGTGCTCTTCTGCAACGTTGCATGTTTGTCCCCAAGGCGCTTCACCAATGAGGCCAGGAGCTTGCGCTGGTTCCTCACTGCATCCTCCAGGAACTGGTACCTGAGAACAACCAGAGAGGTTGGGTGCTGAACCTGGGGAAGGGGAGCACCCCCTACTGTGCCCTGGGACTCACTGGTGGTCCTTGTGAGCGTTGAGTTGGCAGTCCCGACAAGTCAGAGTGTCGCAGCTCTCACAGAACAGCACGAGGGGCTCATGCTTGTGCACATTGCAATAGACAGTACGCTCACCATCCCGAGACTTAGCCGGCCCTGCAGAGTAGAAACCAGGAGGCTGGACCTTGCTCTTGAGCACCTCAGGTAGCAGTCAGAGCTTGAGGCCTCACTTCCCACCTGTCCTGGGACCCTAGGCCATGTACTGGTAGCACCTCGAGAGCCCCGGGTCCTTGCTCCCAGAACCCTCTGCCCCAATCAGGCAAAGATGAAGATGTTATTCTAACTTCAAAGTGGGAATTCCATCCCCACCACTGTTCCCTCTCATGGGAACTTTTACAGACAGGCATGTTCCAGCGACACACACAAACCACCCGCCCCACTCAGCTCCCTGTCGCTAATAAACCTCAACAGGCACGTGGGTCCCTTTCCTCCCCAGAGCTAATCAAAAAGACAAGATGTCTCACATCGGAACACGGCTCAGCCAGAAATTGGCTTCCCCAACTGACATGCGCCCATTCCCTCACCCTAACCTTAGCCTAGAACCTCCGGAATCTAGAATCCCTGCAGACCCCACCCCATCCCGCCTGCTTTCTCAGGCCCTAAAGCCAGCACCTCTACGCCCCATCTTCCTGAAGTGCTATTCTCTGGGCTTGAAGGAACCTTAGTACCACCACCAAAATATTCCTCATGGGAGGGTTCTGGGCCAAAACCTTGGCCAGATTCAGGAGATTCTCAAGCTCCTTTCCATATCAAAGCCAACAGATACCCAGAAAACGTTCAGGAAGTCTAAACTGCGTATTCACAGCTAGAACATTTACAGGTCTCACCAGCACTGACAGCCCAAGGGCCCAGAGCAGCTTATCATGCTGCCCTATCCTGGAAGCCTCCCTTTTCCCAACACTCTCAAGCCAGGTGCCAGAGCCCCAAATTCATAGCACCCCTCTCCCTTACCTTTCCCTGTCTATGTACCCTGAAGTCTCCACTACTGGGACTCATGCCCCCCACTGCATTTCCCTGAGAAGTCCTCAAACCCTCTGTACAACTACAGCATGTGACTTCCCAGCCTGCGGCCTTAACTCTCCCCAGCATCCATGCTTTGGAGTCCTGGTGTTTGCAACTCAGAAAACCATCTTAAGACCTGCCCACCAAACGGAATCAGCACTACAAGCAGCTGAAAGCACACATAGGAAGGCAGCGCCGCCTCACGCACCAGTGGAGCGCACGGTGTGGTCCTTGGTGTACTTCACCCGCTGGTGTGCCTCCACGCATGTCTCACACAGTGGCTCGGAACACTCCACGCAATAGCTGGTGGCTGGGGCATTATCCTCACAGCTAGTGCAGCACTGTCAGGAAAAGGTAGGGTCAGACCAATCCAATAAAGCCTGACAGATCTGCATTTGCAACGCAGAAAATACAAACCCACGTTCATGTGGATACCTCGACCCACCCCAGAGCCTTGAGAAATGTCGAGGATAATGCCTAGAGTTGGTCCAGGCTCCTCCACGGCTCTGCCCCCTCCCCATGGCCAGAAACCTACTGGGCTGGGACAGGACGTACCTGGTTTGCATCTTGGGCGTCGGAGGCAGCCTTGCTGCCGCTATCGCGCATAAAGTAATTCTCCACGATGTCTTTGGAGAAGCACTGCTGCTTGCACACAGGACAGTCCACCACTGTTGGGAGACGGGACGTGAGACCACCGCCGGCCCACATCCAGGTTGCGCTCATCCTTCCCTCCCTGTGCGTTATTCTCTCCAAGCTAAGCCTCCGCGAAACCCACAATGGGTCTTCCACGGAGGGCCCAGAACCCATTCCTCAAGCCCTATCCGGGGCCTGGCGGTCCCCCTCATCTCCCAGAGTCGGGATAAAGGGCGGCGGGGAGGGGGAGGGGCGCCCCCAGCCACTACGTACTCACCGGGAGCCGTCGCCTCGACGAACCCCCCTTCTACACAGATTGTAGGCAGCCCCC